GTGGCTCCCCCTCAATGAAATAACTCGGTCACCTGCATTTTTCTACACCAGAAGAAACTATTTGCTCTTAACACCTTGTGCTAATTTCTGTTCCTTCCTTTAACGAGCCTGCCGCTTTATTTTGTTCAGCTCCAGGTAATAAAGACAGTAGGAAAGCAGCGCTTGAATTACGCTCCTCACAGTAACCTATAGACCACGGTAGGGGTAAAGGCAATATTGCGCACTAGTTTGGCTGGAGCCTGTGGTAAGAGGCAATACTGATCTTATCGGACTTTTCCTCCTGGAAACTTTCAGCGAGAATATCCAGCTTTGCAAATTGGACCCTCTTCCCCAGTAACAGGCAAACACAATGCAAGCTCTTTCCTCCAAACCAGGAACAAAGAATGATGTTATTTCCTATGGTTGGCTCTGGAAGAACTACATAGCAACACCAAAACGTAGCAGCAGAAACAAGACAGACTTAAGTTATTTACTAATATTTTATTTAAAAAATGATTACAAAATATTTTAGAAAGTTCTTAGGACCCAAAAAGCATAATACATTAAAAAAGACCACAGGTTTAGAATGGAAAAAATATTTATGCATTTCAAAATTATTGAAATGGAAATTCAAGGCAACACTGGGAACAAGACTATACATTTATTTTATATATATAAAACCACTGTATTATCATCCTGATTTAATAATCATTAAAAGTCACTTGAATTCTCAAAGGTATTAAAAGTGACAGGCAGCTCTGAACAGCATAAAATTTATTATCTAGAGAACTGCTTATGTTTACAGCAATAGACTAAAACAAAGATGAGTTTCCATCTTAAAGGCACTACCAGCATCTTGATTCGTTACAATTTTATATAACCTTTCAAAAATTTCACAAAGTATTTCCCTTCAGTACAGAAAGCTTGGTGTTTGTATTGCACAAATTTGAACGAGGATCACCACGATTATGCAAAAACATCTTGTGCAGAGCTCTGCGAGTTGTGTGAGATAGCTCACTGCTTTTTCAAGTTGGAGGGTGCAAAGGTAGAACTCAACTGTAACAGACCACAACCCTTCCCTGCTATTTTTAAGCACAGAGTGACAATTCCTTTACGTATTTCGAACCCAAAGGGCACTGGTAGCATTGTGATTTTAATGTGGGCTATACACCAAACACAAGAATTAACATTCTCAATCTACACAATGCCCGTGCAGATTTTCAGAGCAGAAACTCACAGTCCAGCCAAACAGCAAGTCCTCACGTGTTCTGGAGAATCCTCTCCACTGGTTCTCAAGGCACTGTAAACCAAGCCTGAAAGTGGGTGCAGAGCCTTTAAATATTTTTGGATGGGCTCAGCTGGAAAAGGAGAAAGCCTTTAATGTGTCTGAGCAGGCTCGCAACACCACTGCCAGGCACCGTGGTGAGGAAGGGAGAAGACAATCCCCAGACAGAGGTCCTGGGCCAGCTGCTGCTTTCCACAGGTTTTACTACCAGTCAAGATTGTACAGAGCTGGTGACTTTGCAAACCGAAGAAGAAATTTAAGACAGCTGCTTGTAACAGCACTTCTGCCAGAGCTCCTGAACAATCCCTAATCCACTTTAGTCAAAATCAGCCACCTTAATGTAAGCAATTTAAATAGCTGGCTTAAATAAAGTAGGCTGATTTCATCAGAAGCAGGCTGGGAAAGCAGCAGACCACGTTGCTGACAGAGCACGGGAGGGGTAAGAGACATCCAGCCACAGGCGCAGAGCTCCTGCAAAACCAGACAGTTAATCCAGCTCCAACGCAATTCTCTGGGATCAGTCTAATTAAAGACAGACACTCAAAGCCTGGATCTGACAGCAGAAGCATCAAAGGGGGCACGTCAAGACTGCAGGAGACCAGACTGCTCCGCCACTGCAGCAAGGAAGGCTCTCCCCAACCTAGCCTGGGCGGGCAGAGGAGTGAGGAAGGACACACGCTTCTGCCCCTTTGTCTTAGGAAGCTGATAAAGCAGTTAAGGAAAGGATCTCACACAAGCAGAGAAGAGCATATACACTAGCAAACCTGCTTCTCATCTATTTTAAAACCAAACAAAAAGAACACCTCATACTTATAAGCCTAGGATTAATAGTACCACCATGCAGAAACTGCTTTGTTAGCCAACAACTGGTTTGGAAGCAACAATTTAGCAATTGCCTTAAGCCTATAATCAATATGTGACTCACTTTAGTATTTAACTGCCATGTGACAGATTAATGCCAGCTAAACAGTATCTGGAGTGGAGCAATATGTATTGTTGTAAAGAATAGCAGGACTCTTCCTATTAGTAAGCTCCTGTGACATACGGGAAAACAACTAACTGGTTTCCCCAGGACTACCATTTGTCATTTTCATTAGCCGATGGCAACGCTTGCATCCCTTTCAGGCAGAGGCAGAATCTGATCCTCAAATCTATACATGGGTCAGTCCGTTGGTGAGGGAATGGGTATAAACTACCTACCTGGAACAGCTAAAAGGAAAATGAAAAACATGCCCAAACCCCCTCGCTCTAACAACCCCACATATGCCAGGGAAGCCAGCATGTATGGAGAAGCCATCAAACCATTCTGCAAAGGCTGGTGGTATTTGTTTCAAAAGGCCTAACAGTCAGACCGTGGGATTTAGGAGATCTCAGTCAGAGTCGCTTCTTCTGACACCAACTCCTTGTGGCACCATTTCATAAAAATAACTTGCTCTGTATTTCAGTTTCTCTCTGAAGTTATCAGGAGTAGGTACCATAGATAGGGAGGCCAAGGCAGAGCGATGACTTTACAGATCCCTTTCGTTACCAGTATTCAGGTATGGACACCAGTAACAAAGCACTTAGGTGGGGAAAAGTCTATAGAAAAAACAAACCCAGAACTCTATTCACATATTTTCAAGCTAAGAAAAATTACAGGAAAAGTTACTTCAAGATAAAAGTCCTGTCATGGTGCTGCATTGCTTAATAAATATCAGCAGCACAATGTTACTCTTACGCTGTATTTACAGCTTTTAATTATAGATCAAGATTTAGAGACTACAGACATTTTGATGTGAAAACAAATTCAGTAGAATCCTGAGCAATAATAAAAAAAAAGGAAAAAAACCCCTTAGAACGTTAATCATAGATACAGACACAATGCCAAAAGTAAGACATTGCAAATCATAGCAGAGATATTTCTCATTATGGCAAGATTCATATCACCGGTAACACTGCTTGTAAACAAAACATCTCTAATCTACCCAGTTTTCAGAGACAGCTACAGCAAGCTCTGGACACCTAGACTGAGATCAGGTTTTAGTGCAAATGGACACTAATAAACACAAGAAAAAAAAAGAGCCAGTCCAAAAGGCATTTCTTCTTCACAAAGCAGGAAATTCTATGAAGGAAAGTATGCCTTTTATGCATGGTTCGGAAACCAAGCCACAGCTTAAACTTGATGCTTCACACCACCTGTCAAAATTTTACATCCTCCAAACAAAGTGTAGTGTTAGGCTTAAGTCTCAGCCCTGAGAGAGAACATCACAAACTCACATTCGTCAGAAAGTGGCAGCGCTGGAGGAAAACTCTGACCTTCTTTTGCAGTCCTTACAACAGCTTCCTCGTCCTTTTCCAAATACAGCTTGCTCAGCCAATTTCTGGAAGGCTTAGTCTCAGTGCTGCCACAACAGGTTACAGGACTATAAATTTGTGAGCCTAGGGTATTGATGCAATGGAGTTAATGCCTGGAAGACACGGAAAATGTCACGAGCACTCAAACAAGAATTGTTTTTGCATAATCAGCTTTTTCTCATTTGCTTTGGTATTTTGGAACATGGCCTGGTTACAGCAATTTGCTCTACTTTTGAAGGCTTTCCTCTTAAACGAGGTCTACCAGTCTTGCTTCTACCTCAGACATCTGAAAAACGCCTTTTCACCACTTCATTTCTTTTACAGGCATCAACATCTGGTCGGATACGTCCGTCACTCGTCTGATAACATGTTGCATCAGTAGTGTTTCGTGCAGTCCTACAGCCTGTTGCTTTTAAGACAAATCAAGGGTACAAGTGCTTATTTACCTGTTTACCAACTGAGCCAGTCAGTAGCAAGAAGGCTCAAGTTAGTGCCATATTAATAAACAAAGAAAATGGTGGGGTTCATAACCATTCTGGCAAAACTTACCATTAACTATACACAAACAAGCTGCATATGGTATTAACTTTGCAAGTAATATTCACCAGGATAGTACCAATGTTTTTCCCGTTGATGTTCAGATTGCTACTTTTGGAGTTACTTCGTGAAAATAATGATTCTTCATCTTTTTCCTCTCAGAGCTGGCATTTCAAGTTTCTTCCTGCAACTTTTATAGCTTTCGAAACAATCTGAAAGACAACTCTGGCTTACAAGTCCAAAGTTTGACAATCATGGGCTGCGAAACTGTCTCGTTGATATACCGTTACATTACTCTCCCCATAAAATTCCTACGCGTGCTATTCCATTAAAGTGATCTCCACAGGCAGAACTGAGACATACGAATAGTAAAAGCAAAACAAAAACCTTTACATAAGGATAAGCATTTCTGTAAGGGTCCAATTAGGTATCCCTTTTACATTCACAGTTTGACCAGTAAAATGAATTCTGCTGTACTAAATTATAACTCGTAACAGAAGTATCTGGTCCATTTATATAGAAAATACCTTTAGGGTATAGCTCAGAATTTATGCATCACACAGTAACCTTTATTAGTCACCTCTGTCAAAATCACATCAGCACACTGTTGTCCTTAAGTTATTCTATTTAGACCCAAATTTTTTTAGTGTATGTCACCTGGACAGGTGGCAGGACCAGTTACCTTAGAACATGATGCTCAAGATGCCATTACTTGACCTAAGGATCTCTAAAAATTTGTGATGAGCAATGCATACAAAATTGATTAGAATGAAGAGACAGTAGCTGCTGCCTACAGTGCACTGAAAGTACATTTTTAGTTTGCTCCATTCAAAAAAAAAAAAAAAAAATTTCCAGAAAGTTAGCTTTATTTATTCAATGGCTGACTTTCTGTGGCACTCTGAGTGTTGCTAGGATTTTCAGAGCGTCCATCGACGTTTTGCTTCTGACTGTGAAAACGCTCTGTAATAATTTCAGCTACAAATGCACCACTGGCAAGAAAGCCGAACACCTGTGAAAGTGAAAGGAATATAGAATTTTACAATGTACAAACATTAACAGTATTCTAACATTGTTTGGAGAGGTTTGCCGGACTATTTACATACGTTAATTACGCTTATATATTAAGATTGCAGTCCTCCTTAAATCGGTAGTTCCTTTTAAATTAGAAGCAGAGCAGAAATCATAATTCTAGCACATTTAATGCAAAAGTTTTTACAGTTCTCGTTCTCTTTATCAAGTGTGAACCTTATAATACGCTCTAAACAGCCCTTAATAGTAAAAGTGTATTAATTTCATTGCAAAAATTAGTTATTAAAGAAGCACGGCCTTGGTAGGGTAGCAGAGGATTAATCTAAGAGACGGCTGCTGATTAAAGGGAGTAAGTGAAGAAGAGTAACACGTGGAAGGTGAAGGGCAGCAAGATCTGCAAAGCCTAAGCAAGTCCTTACTGGGTCAGCAAGAGAGGATGAAATGAAATTTCCTTAATGACATTTCCTTATTAGTCATGGCAAGATAGGGGTAAAAACAAGGTTGTTTTTAGCAGCTTCTTTCCACCAAGGAAAGAAACACGTGCATTATTCTAACTTCTACCTAAATTTTACATGACTGGTTTTGCCCCAAAGCAATTTGACACTAGTAGATCTTAAATCACAATTATTTTTGTTTTTCCAGCTCCAGAAAAAAACCTGAAAGACTTTATACTCAAACCATTAGGTCTGAATATATCAACATCACAGAAGATGGCTATACAAAAGTGTGTATCTCTAACAGCTCATGCCGCCTGTGGAACAGAATTATTTCACTTTCTTTTCTAACTAATTTTTTCTCATTCAAGAATAAAATCAAAATTTGATCTTTTAAACTTACATATTCACAGCTCCAAGGCTGTGGCACAAGAAGTGCCAAATGAGTAAGGAATATGACATCCACAGCATCCCAAAGCCTCTTTAGTGCCTTGCCCTGAGCCTCTTCAGCGTTTCCCAGGAGATGCATGCCCTGTGCTCTTCTATTTCTGTCACTAAGGAAACTGCTGCTTTTATTGCAGCCTTTGCAAGTCAGCATTCTCCACATGTGCCCTGTAACGCCTGGCAAAAGACATGGTTTCTTGCCGACCTTGTGAGGGGGTGGCATTACGAAAGGACAAGTCAGGAAAAAAGTAGGCATTTCAGAGAGAGGGTATCAGAGAACTGGGGAAGCTGTGAGAGACGGCAACGTCAAAACAGTGACAGACGACAGGGAATAATACAGAGCCAAGGCTGCGAAGTCTGAGGAACCCGGAAGCAGGCCGCAAACTCTGGGGAGCTGCAAGTGCAGGCAGAGCTTTCTAGCAATCGTGAGGAATGCCTGCTCTTTGGGTTTCCTACGGTAAGTTTCTGCAAGGCCTGAAATAGCCAATTTCTCCTGAAACATCTCAATGCGCTGAGCTCTGTTCCCTGCCCAGTTTCTTCCCTGCAAACTGAGTGAAGCCTAGAGGGCAGAGAAATTAACGGACAAGATAAATAGAAAGTAAATCATGCAATTTTAAGACTTACACATGCAGCTTTTTCAACAGCAGACCCAGAGCTGGTTGCAGCAAGCACTATTGATGCTAACAGAAAACAGACGCCTATGGCTGTTACGGCCCCACAATTCTGCAAATACAAAAAATGAATGTTATAGAATTGTAGATATACTACCTGAAAAAGAACAAGCATCATAACAGCAGCTGAGTTAATCTGCCAGTGAATTTATGCTTTGAAACTTTGATGCTAATGGAAGCTTCAGAAAATGTATTTTACAACTACATTCCGAACAACATTCAGCATTACCAACTATTTAAAAGAGTCTGCATTACATAGTCCCCTGTAAGTATTTCATTCATTGACATCTAACTTTTTTCACAACCAAATTCAAGCTCAGAGCAACATGCTAGCAGCATTCCCTAGGGAAAACATTTGGGAAATCAGAAACCTGTAAGTAAATGTGCTCATTCAGATCTCTTACTACATTACTCCCTTATCTGTACCTTCCCATAAAAAATCTGTTTGCGCTGAAGACAAATAGGAAGGGGCACTCATAAGACACTATAATATTCTTACTGACTTTACAGAGCAACTTTGTGGCACTGCTGGACCTTCTGAAATATAAAAGCATAAACTGTAACAAGTATGATTATTACCAAAAAGGAAGTAGGCTACACCCAGTAGGAAAACAGATAGAGTAAATAGGCAAGTTACAAGTATCATGCTGGCAGTAAACTGTCTTCCGTTTACCTACGTATATGTGGTGACCATGCAGCAGTATCTTAGTCTGCGTGAAAGACTTTCACAAAAGTCCTAAAATCCTGCAGGTAACCAACATGACAGTTTTGGAAAAGTTGGTAATATAAAAGGGATTCTCAAAGGTGACTCATTTTTTAACTATAAGCTACTTTAATCTACCCTTTAAATAGAGAAGAAAAGGAGATTCATTCTGCATAGCATTTTTACTCCACAGTAGTCTAAGCACTTACAAGAAATGGTTGGTTTTTTTTTTAAAAAAAAAAATTTCCTTACCACTCTTTGTACTTTATCTTCCCCAGATGTTTCATATATGTCAGTGCAATATGCACACAGGATCAGGAGGCTCAACAGAAAGGCACTGCAGCTTACGAATTCAAAGAAGTAAAGTCCGCCACACTCGATACAATCCTGCACAATTTCTTCACAAATAACAGCCAGAAGAGAGAGAATCTGCAAATAAATAACATGCTCGAGTTTGATCAAGTCTCTAATATCTTCAGCAAATAGATGTCTCTGATACGAACATCAATAAGGACAGCTCTAAGGAAAATCCTCAATCTACAAAGAACCCGGTAAAATTCTGCACTATTTTCTTACAGGCAGAAATAATTATACAGTGACACAGTTTACACTTGCTGTTAAATGTTGGTCAATAACTACACTTGGGTAAGCTGAGCACACACCGCCAAATACAGGCTTCTTGATTAGACAGCCAGGACTCCTGATTTGTGGGTTTGTGCAATCGCCAGTTGGAAGCAGACGGGGCAGACAGCGTGGAGAGTGCACGTCCTGCTCAGAACGAGCAAAAATGCTATTGCTTACTACTTTCAACTGCACTTGATTTTAAATGCATTTGGGTTCAGGGCAGAGGCGGGGAAATCTGAGGGCACTGACACAGTCAGCTACCTCCCTGGAAGTTCACAGCTGATGTCACCTCCCTTGGTAAAACTTCAGAGAAAGCACATGTAGCTAATAGTTCACCTGCTTATGACCCCCTCTAAGGACAGAAGCTCAGCTGTAGGAATCAAAACTTTAAACTATGTTTAAGCTATGTTGGACAGTGTTTAATCCATGCAGAAGCTTATATTCACTTTTCTGCCACAGTAAATTTTGAGGAAAGAACAGGAGTTCATTCCTGTACAGTCACTATACATCTGCTGCTGGATTTTCTACTACTTTATTGTACAAGACAGAATATTGCATTATGTAAATGTTCTCTCATTTTGGCCACTTATTGCTAGTTTCCTTCACTCCAGAAAGTTGACACAGCATTATAAATCCTTGTACTAAGGAGTTCACCAAATTAAAACAAAACCAGTAGTAGGAATCAGACTTGGTCAAAAAATTGAGACTGATATAAGGACGATGATCATATTTTTAATAAAGGTATATGGGCAATAATGAGGTTGACAGTTCTTCTTTTAAAAAGATTTTAAAAAAATCGAATTCTAAAATTCAGAATTGTTCTTGGAGAATCACCACCAGCCTTTGGTCTCAGTTTTCTGACCGTAAAAATAAGAACAACAATTTAGCACATGGGAACTGTAAATCCCCCCTGCTAAGCCAGACCTCAGAAGGGCACTTCTAAGCATCATGTTTTGAAAATGCTGCAATCATGTAAAGAAAACAGGATCTCAGAAAGGGAAAAAACCCGAGCTGGGAAACTGCAATATTACTATCAGGCCTCCACATACTTCCCTTCCCTCCCGCAGCGGCTGGCAAGGCAAACTTCTCAGCAGCCCTCGCACCTAAAACAGTGACTACAACGGCTGTCCGAGGAACGTTTTGAACTCTGAATTTCCAATTTTTAAGTATTTTTTTGCATGTCCAAATATTTGCTTACAGCTGCATCCAATGACTTTCAATTTCACCTTTTTCACAAGGTCAGCTGGAGTGTGAGATCAGTTTTCAGTGCTGATAAAGAGCTGGAACTACACACGGAAACCTAACGCCATCGCTTTCACCTGGGATGCAACAGAACCGAAAGGAAATAAACCTCCCCTTAAAAGAATTTATAAGCCCAGATAACCATAATATGATCTAAACAACTGAAAAAACCCTCTCCGCTGAGTGTACAAACAAGTAGAAAAAAACCCCAAGCATTCAAAGAGTAGCTATAAAGGGTTCAGTGTCAAATAAATGAGATTTACCAAGCAGAGTCCTAGGTGGGACTTGTCCAAGTCAATATTCATTTTTTATTAATAAGCTGAATAACAAAATAAATTACATCATTAAGAAAGCTTTGGCTTGAAGAACTCTGATTAAAGTAGTCTATCAACAGCACATTTATAAGCTGCTAGAGAGTTCTGCTTCTGTTTCTTAACGTGCTTCCTGAGATCACTATGAGAAACAAAAGGGATTACTGTGTTGTCCTACTAACAAAAAAGAACAGTTTTAAATACCACTGAAAGACTAATTCCTTGAATTTAGTTTATATAGTTACAGCTATGTAACACGGCAGGAAGGTTTTTCTAGTATTAGCCAGAAGATTATCATCTCTATTATTCATCTGCATTTTAGTAACATCCCACTATTAGATACAGTATAAATACACGAGCCGCTTTAAACAAGCCAGGAGATTCCACGTTTCATTCCATTTCCCAAGAACTGTTCTGCCGGAGATCCAACTTTGTCCGTCAGCATTAGTCCTGGGATGAGTGCAGACCTTTACAGGCTTACATGAAGCAGCCAAAGCTCCTTCTGTTTTGTTTTTGTATCTGCCTTCTCCACACCGATCCCATGGAGAATCCCTAGCAGCCGACAGCCAGGATATCACCACTGCTTTTGTTTGAGACGCCAATAACGATGTGAAGAGGGGCAGCTCAGTAATTTCCCATTTTCTTGAGACCTAAACCTTCCAAGCAGAGTTCCTTTCACCTCACCATATGCATGGACTGCTTGCTGTAAAGGGAAAAGCATCGTTGGAGACACAGTTTTTAACTTTTCCTTTTTTTTTTTTTTTAATTATTAGTCCTATCTGTCCGTATCTACACCAGAAATTAAACATCTTCATCTGTCCCTTACCAGCAAGAAGTTATTCATTGATACTGACATGACTGTTGGAAGTTTCTACACAAGTGTCAAGTTCCTAAAGTAGATTTAATAAGTGAAAGGCTACAAAAGAATGCTACAAAAATAAAGCAAATCAATGAACTTTCCAACAGGCCTGTGAAAATGCTCAGCATTGGTATTCCCAGTACAAAGCCTTCTAACTCAGATGGGTGCACATATTAATTCTGTAAGTCTGCACAATCAGGGCTACTATAGGAAGTGAACAGCTCAGAAAAAGAGCAGATTTTTAAGACTGAATTACAATTTTCCTTTCCAGTTAGGGCATTTTGGTTCAAGTCAAACAATAGTTGATGAGAAGTATTTCTGCTTTAGATAAGAATTCCTTTCTACCTCCCAGCATCCTTTTGGCAGTTACATTTTCCTTATTTCACTTGCCCAGAAAGTTTCAAAAAACAGGCTAATATTACAATGTATGCTGTTATTAATCAGAAGAGAAGCATTTCTAAGGTCTAGAAACCAGTTTTCTGCAGGTGATATCACAGTATTTCGTAAAACACTTGATCACTTCTATAATGAAGACAGCAGATTTTCTGAGTGCAATACCCTCTTTAGCAGTCCACACGACTGATAACCCCAATAACAACCACTATTGTAACACAAGGCTAACAGATGTTAATGACCACCACTATCACTGGCGTTTCCAAAAATCAATGCCTTCCAAAAACAGGAACATTTTTCTTACTGCAGATACTGAGGCTTCCACCTTCAGGAATTTCTGGGGCTTTCTTAAAGTGTTTTGACCAAGAACTCCAAGATCTGTGCACTTTGATAAAGGGGTACAAAAAGGGAAGGGAAAAAATGTTGGAAATTGGGAGGGTGAATGACTGTAACTCCATTTTCTTTGTCCTCTCATTGAAGAACAAGTACAGGCCATAAACTGCCAATTCTTTAGGGGCATATCAAGCAGCTATCCATCCTGTTTAGGATAATCATAATTTTCCTTTTTCCTAGCTAGAAAGCTTTTTAAATAACACCTCTGTTCAGGTAAACAGTTTAAGACCTTGGTACACCAGTAAATTTGCATATGTAATAGTTTATTTTAGTCAGTGAACCTACTTACATAAATGATCTGTTGGTCTGGGAACAACAGCCAGCAGATCTTACTTTATTAATCTCCAGTAGACGAAGTAAAAGTTTATGTCCTATTATATTTATTTAAAGCATTCTTGGGTGTGATATTTTTAAACACTCTTGGAAAACATTATTTTTGGCAGCATTACCATTACCTTTACCAGCACTCGAGAATCTTATGTTTCTGGTTCAGGGTTTTGACTGTGTGCAAGGCAAAGTTTAAAAACCAAACGTCCTCTTTTCTGCAATGGTGAAATAATGAGAAAGGGTTGGAAATCACCTACAATTCCCATGAGCATGAGACATCTGACTAAAAAGCCACTTTGTTGGCTTGAAAATATACCCTGACACACATTTACAGTCAGCTGCCCTTTCCCACTGTTGGTTTCACTACCTCCCTGCCAGTACTTAAGAATGAACAGGAGTCTGAATCATGTGCTGAATGTGTTCAGGAATCACACTACATGTAGCAAAAAGCAAGCAGAATATAAGCCTTTTCCTTCTTGGTGGGCGCAGGAGTGCCCAACACGAAGCGATGCACTGTGATGTCTTCTACAATAGGCCACCATCAACACTGCACGTTTCTGGTGCAATTTTCTACCATGAATCATTGGGGAAATGAGCCCCCTGATTTTAGCACGGACAGGACAGCATGATAAGCTTACAAACGGGCTGCAGGAGTAGCAGGAGAGGGACGTCCGGATCTGATGACCCAGCAAGCCCTTGCCAGTTCTACTGCCCTACCCTGAGCTTCAACCAAAGGCTTCCACCTCCTGTTTTCATCCAACACGGCCCTCAGAAGAAAACACTTAAGTTTCCTGTGAGGTTTCCCTCTGATTTTAAACTGTAACGACCGCAGGCAGCTGAACCACACGGGCTGCAGCACCGAACCCGGGCCGTGCGACGCACGCAACCGTCAGATGTCAGCACCCGCTCCTGTAGCCAGAACATAAAAAAGGAACGAGCCTGTTACTTCCCCACCATAAAACAACCTGAACCTGCAGAGACGACGGCGTTGTAAGACACCACGTCTGCTTTCCACCTGAGTTACAGCTCTTGCGCAGGTTTAGTAAGCGAGAGCAAAGGCGAGCTTTGCCTCCGCCACGTCTGAAGTGAGGCTCTCTGGGGGAGCGAGCCCTTTCCTGACTGACATCAGCCATTCCCCTGCGGACGGCCATCTCCCCCAGCCTGCGCTTCACCACTGAAGAGTTTAATATTTAAGCGGCGAGGGATTGTCCGAAAGCCAGAGGTCATCATAACACGTTCATTTCTGTACCAAAGCTGTACTGTTGGTAAGCAGGGACAGCTGTAAAGCACCCGGGCGACAGTCGCTGACGCGGCGGGAGCGGGCCCAG